CTCCCATTAAGCCATCAATAATTACAATTGGGTAAATCGTCAATCTTTCGCTCGAAGTTCATTCGAGGAATTTAAAATCCCTTTCTCCAAGCATGAGCAATGATCTCACATAGCTTGACGACACCGTTCAAAATCCTCGGTTAACTCAAGGACACAATTGGCACCCTCTTCCCGTTCACCTTCTGTGGCGGCTGCGGAGAGCCTTTCCCAGGCTCCGCCCACAAGCCAATTCCGAGCGGTGTCTTTGAAGCCGAACTATGAATTCATCGGGGGGAATGTGAGATCTCATTGCAGCGGCTCTATGGATAGTTTCCCTTACAAAACCAGTTACAAAACATGGCCATTTATGTAATACTCATATCCGGTCACCACAAAGGGATGACTCAAATAAAGCAATGGCGTAGGCGCATGAACCTTCCAGTAAATCGCGTAGTTACCTTCTTCTCAGAGCGGCTCTGTTTCACTTGCTTGTCCATCTGATCTCCCAGTCCAGCTGCCTCCGCGACTTTCTTCTGTTCCTCTGTCAGCTCACCATCAAGACCTGGTGCGTCATCATCAGAATCGTCAGATCCATCCTCGACCACCACCTGAAAAACACTGCAGTTTCAAAAATGAAACGAATTTTCAGAAAAAAAAAAACAGGGATGATTCCTGTGAAAGACAGGGTGTTTGAGGGGGAGGGGAGCGTAGCTTCCAGTGAGCGGGCTCAAGATTGCAACACTGGTGAAAAAAGGGCGCCCTGGCTGCGCTCCAATCCGCCCCGCGCCACATTCCTCATCGTTTTCAGGGACCATGACTATACAAAATAGGGGCTCTGAGCTCAAATCTCACCTTCTCCATCTCCTCCTTCTTCGCAGAGTCTACTTCCACCTTCGCGACCATGTTGACAAACTAACCCTCAAAATTTATCATAGGAACAGCACAACATACAGAACAATATTACAGCGAAAATACAAATAACGACGATACGATCACGGGGCGAGTCACCCAAGCACCACTTCAATCACAATAAATCTACCATGAATCTTTATTGTCTATACACATGACGAATTTTTATTAATTAGTGTTCTCTGCGATGACCAGTGAAACACAGAGCAAGTGAAAGAAAATCTTGTATACAAACTGACTATCATGATGAATAAAACCTTACACCTTTAAGTAGAAGAAAAAGCTTCCTACCGTCAAACAACTGAACATGTATTTAAATTGTTCACAACCTTTTATAAAACTCACGACGACTAAATTATGTGCTATTAATTGGTTAAAACAATGACAGTTAGAAAGAAAAACTATGTGCAGTACTAGTAACTATGAACCATAGATTTGTTATCACAGACAAGTCGATAATCACAATATCACATTACTCATTCCCAAAACCCTCTGTCATTTCTATCGCCATGTTCAACTTTTCAGACAACTGCTCATAACTCCTATATGGTGGCAAGTCAAGACGATTAAAACATGTGTGCGATCGCGGTAGCCAATTTTCCTTTCCGACACGCTCTATACAGAACAACTGCGGTCCAGTACTACCCATTAATTCCGAGAAACCACCGACTGGAACGCGACATGTGCCAGTGACAAACTGCAGAAGACGAGCACGCTTCTCCTGATCGAGATTTCTCACCCACTGCCAGAACCAAACCACCTGCTTGCTTTGAGGTGCGTAATGACGATACACTGTGTTCCTCTGCCAGTCGTCTACATCAACATCCTGCATACCGCAGAGCAGCAGCTCCAACTCCCTCTCATCGAAATACTGCAACCACTCAAGGGGAAACACCGAATTGAAGCCCGTGAAAAACGCCTTCGTCTGCTGCTCCACACCTCTGTTAAAGCGCCATTCAACCAGCAGCTGGATATACTCAAGCTTGTTTGCTTCGGTAACGGGAATATCCGTTCCACCAGGTTTCAATTCATGTGTTTTCAGCTCGCCAAGCAGTTCATAATCAGCGACAAAATACAGCTCCATTTGGCACTCATCGATATTGTTGTCTTTGATCCACATTACAGAATTATAAAACTCCGTGTCAACCTGCTCGATATCTTTCAAGGCGATTTTCTTGCTGAGCATCTTCTTGTAGAATGGCATAGTAAAGCCCGAGTAGATAAACTTTCCATGGAAGAGAGCCTGAAAGTGGTGCTATAAGCGAAAAAGTCATCAGTGATTTGGGGATTGTACCACACCCCTCCCCCACTTTTTCCATGCCTGCTTGAGCCAAAATTATACCGCTCAAGATTTTACTTTTCATGTTTTGCTTGGCATGTGTTATGCATTAGTTTTCATGTGTTAAAAAAGGATAAAAAGATATAGTCCTCACGTATCAAATATAATGTAATAAGGACAAAGTCTTCGCCGTTCGATCAATCCCTTTTTAGGATGCGGCATACATTCCACTTCCATTCAGAATCGTAGTGGCTTATTGAATGCGATGTGGCCTCTACAATGACTTCGGGCCGACGTACAGTTCAGTGTTCTTATCCTCCCAGACGAATCTGGTATCAATATACCGTCCTCGGGAGATAAAAGTTGGTTGGCCTGGGCGGGAGCCGATCCGGGATTTGATGCTTCCGTGCA